ATGTAATATAACTTGCTTTTATAATCCAAATATATTTCTTGGGCTGAAATATATCTGAAATTGCCATTAACTCATTTCTGATTTTTCTGCCGTTTTCCCCCTTTTTATTGCAAAGGCCTCATATTTCCTTCCGATATTGACAATCAGTTGGTGGGAGGTTATATTTGTGAAAAAAAATCAATTTCTTACAAAACAGCTTTTTTTTATCATATCATTTAAATTACATTATAACAAAATTTTTTTGGTAAATTCTTACTTATACTAAATAAATAAAGAATATTTTCAATAAATACAATTAATTAAAGTAAAAAACAAAATGACATAAATATTTTTCTTTCAATTAATGAAAATTATATATTAATAAATTTTCTGGATTTTTCATTTCCAGATTATGAAATTCAGGATTATAACATTTCAGGATTATGAACTTATTAGGATTATGTGATTCGAGATTATAGCATTTCGGGATTTTGATATTTCAGGATTACAGTATTTTAGGATAGTGATCTGAGCTGGTCGAATCGACCTGAGTCATTCGACCAGACTCAAGAAAAAATTTGAGTTAGGACTATCATTTTATGTCACAAGTCCTAATTTCTTAAAACCCGCTAGGTTAGGATCTCAATTTTGCTTGATCTGAGTGACTCAAAATATCAGGTGATGTAATTTAAATGATATAATGATATGCAATGCAACAATTTGTTTTATGTTACGTGACTTAATCTATAACATATGAATTAAATAATGAGTGAAATTATTGACTTTACTACTTTTAATAATACAACTTCTCTTAGAAAATGAAAGGCATTGCGAAGTGAACTTTTTTCCAAAGAACTTTTTGAAGAAAATATTCTTCCATCTGAACACAAAAATTCAAAATCTCATAGAGAAGTTAGATGTCTTAACTACTTGTATATATTTTTAATAGAGTAGGATGTAGTGTATTATTGTTTATTTTATTTTTTTTAAAAATATTTTAGAGGACATAAAACATGACTTCATAAGATTGGAGATTTTTCGTAAATTTATTTTAAAATGGATAATTACTGATGATTAACCATTTACAATACTTGAAAACAAGTATTTTCAACAAATGATAAAGTTTTTAAATTCTAATATATTAATGCCTTTATAATAGAAATTTTTGAAATGGAACAAATAAAAATGAAAGTGTTATTTTAAGTAAGTTTAAAATTTATGTTTAAGTATATTTTTTAAAAAAATATTTACTCTAAATTACATTTTAATAGAATATACCTGAAAGGATTTCATTTGCTTTAGATGCATAGACATCTATAAATGGTTATGCTTTTTTAGCTATTACAATACATTGGATTTCTAAAGATTGGAAACTTCAAAATAATTTACTTGACTTTATAAATCTTTATGGTTCTTATTCTGATGAAAATCTTTGTAATGTTTTTGTAAAAAGTTGTAATGAATTTGGAATTTTAGCAAAGGTAAATAATTTTTTATACTTTTTTTTATTTTTAAAT